GTTGCTCAAAACAATTTTACTACGATTTAAAGTTTGTGACGATGGTATATTATTACAATGACTGAGTTTCCGAACATTTCCTATCGTTCAGAGATAGGGGGAGCCGGTGTAGCTTAGTCGGTATAGCGACTGGCTACGGGTTGGACCACGGAGGGGTTGGAGTTCGAGTCCCGGTAGGGTCAAGAATTTCTCTTCTCCAAATCGTCCACAGATCGGCTCTGGGATCCACCCAATCTCTTATCCAAAGGGTACCGGGGGTAAAGAGGCAGGGGCGTGAAGCTGACCATTCACCTACGGCTAGTGACGAGGTCAAGAAAATGTGGATCTATACATCCACTCCCACATACGCCTTCATGGCGTAGTGCTTAACTCGTTGAGCACAGTGACAACTTTACCCTTTACCTTCACCAGAAAAAGGGACTAGCTTTATCGATTGGGTCCATCTGAGAAGGCTTTACTTGAGGATGGAGACAGAATCTAGTCTAGGAAAAGATGTGTTTTAAATTAAAAAGAAGATGTACTGTGTCTAAAAACTCAATAATTGCAATTTTTCTATGCTTTGGAAAACAATCTTTGTGGTCTAGTGGTCAGAGTTCCTGGTTACAGAGCCAGAGGTCCCGGGTTGGATCCCCGGTGCTACCAGATTTCCTGAGAAGTAGTGGTCCTGGAACGGCGTCCACTCAGCCTTGTGAGGATAGTTGAGGAACTATTTCAAGGAAATTTTCACACATCCGCATGTTCTTCCTAGTAGTGAAAAACCAAGTTCTATGATTGTACACAACAGGTAAGATAACGGTAAAATTGTTCCTGTGATTAACTAATTAAGCACTACGCCATGAAGGCGTATGGGAAAGTGGACATATAGATCCACATTTTCTTGACCTCGGCACTAGTTCAAGGTGAGTGGTCACCTTCATGCTCCTGCCACTTTACTCCCGGGGAAAGAGCCCCCGGTACCCACTGGATAAGAGGTTGGGTGAACCTCAGAGCCGGTCTGGAAGACGTGGAGAAGAGAAAATTCTTGACCCTACTGGGACTAGAACTCAGACCCATCGGTTGTCCAGCCCGAAGCTAGTCGCTATACTGACTATGCTATCCCGGCTCCATATACAACAGACATAAGTATACAAATTAATGCATTCTTAGTCTGACGCCATGGAGTCTGGTAACACTGTTACCAACTTCCGTAACCTCTCCTACTCTGCTGCCCTTACACTACCGTCACTCTTCCACAAAACTGGCTGGATTATTTATTTTACAACCTTAGTGGAGGGACCCCAGCGGGAAGGCTAGGACGATAGGGTGAGGGAACAGGCCTCACTCCCAGTAACTCTTTTCCTTACCACCTGTCTGAATTCTCTGGCAGACTCTACTATTTTTATATTCAATTAATTTTGTATTAATATTTAATGTTCCATATTTTTAAAATTTAATAAAAATGTTTCACACATCCATAAACAAATGGAGACAGGGAAAAGAAAACCCAAAATAAGAAAATAAATCAACAACCCAAGAATGTAAGAAAACGAGAAAAAACTCCACTTCTCCAATAAAGATTTTTTTCTAATTTCTTGTGTGGGCAAAGAATAACATTTGTCAGATCTTCTTTCTTATACAATGAAAATAAACATGAATACTCTTACAAACGAAATGGCTGAACTAACTGATGAAAAAATGTTTCATACAATGGCCCACACTAACTCTATGAGGTAGGCTGCATCATAGCTCAAGAGGTTAGTCGCTGGCTTCCCACCGTGGTGGCCTGGGTTCAAACCCGGGTCTGGTCGAGTGAGATTTGTGGTGGGAAAAGTGGCACCGGGGCAGGTTTCCTCTGAGTACTTCGGTTTCCCCTGCCAATCTTCATTCCACCAAATTCTACATCATCATAATCACCCGGGGCAGGTACAATAGGCCAATCAGTGGCCGCCGTGCCGAGTGGACCCAGCTAGACTCCACACCCCACTAAGCGAATTAAAAAAAAATAAAAAACTGATGAAAAAATGTTTCATACAATGGCCCATACTAACTCTACAAGGTTAGTTTGGTACTGACAGGTTTGTCTTTTATTTTTTTTATTTTTTGGTTTGCAGATATTTTTATTATTTTTAGATTTATTTTGTAGGGCAGGTTGGTGCAATGCTGGTTCGTTTAATTTGTACATGGCGAAGCAATTTAAAATCATGAACTGCTAATTCATCAGGGGTCATTCGTGGGATGACAATTTTGGGACGCTGGGGACTCTGATTCTTTTATTTAACAAATGCTATGCAAGTGGGCTAATGGATTAAACAGTGAAATCTGCAGTGCCTTAAACGAGTGGACTGTGATGCGTGGTCATGCTAATCGCAATTTAATTGTCGACAAAGAGACAAGCATATACCGTACTTCTTGAGCAAGATTCTGACAACAGCAAACGTGGAAAGGGCACTACACCTGATGATATAATCATGAGGATACCTTGCAAGAAAGTTAGAACTTATTTTAAAACAGAATACACTTATCATACACATAAAATAAGCAAAACAATTTGAACAATCAAGGGAAAAAACCATCTCACTTGAAAACTCAAATAAGTTTACAGCAATGTAACACTACTTTACACTAAGTAGGTTTTCTATCTCAGTGAACATTTTCTTAAGAATAATACAACAAAGTTATACTAGTATACTTATTTTCTCAAAATAGATGTGATTTATCAACCTTTTAGCTCATATTTATCAACTCCCAAAATTACTGTCAAAGTAGAACACTACATTTTACACTGTACTTTATTCTAGCTATGAAAACACTTCACAGAAATGGGCTCCTATTATAATGGGAAACTTGTGGTTCTGTAAAAGGTATGGAATGTCTTAACCAGCTGAGTGACTGTAACTCAAGAAAAACTCTTCACCATGGCATTACTTAGTTCACATAATGAGATGAAAGGATAACACTAAGATAGTGCTCTGTGAAATAGGTTGTGAGATTTGGAGGACAGAAGTAGATCAGGACTGCATCCAATGATGGGTTTTAGTATTGGTGGTATTAGTGGCCTCCGTAGTCTAGGGGTAACGTTCCCACCTCATGACTCAAGGTACGCGGGTTCAAACCGGCGGAGGTCGTGGGATTTTTAAGGGCGGAAAAATTCAGGGAACAAGTCCTCCGGGAGGGACTTTAAGCCGTGGGTCCCGTGTTGTAGCTTTACGGCACGTAAAAGACCCTCATGTCTCTAGGAGACCTCTGAGCAAAATTAGGCAAAAAGTTTCCCGCCCAAGAAGTTTCCAATGCCTCTGGTAGATGGGGAAGTTATCGGGTACCACTGCCAGAAGAGGGCCGACCTCGCTGGCAGAAAGGGGCTGATAGCGAGCACCAGTACCGGTAGGGTATGGCGACAGTAGAAATTAAAGGGGGACGTACAATAGACTACTAGTCATGGTGCATGGGGAAACCCACCCCCTCTAATACTGAATAACTGAATTAGTGTTGATTTTATATGTGGAACGTTGTTTTTTGGTATTTGTGTTAATATTTAATATAATTAAAATATATTTCAGAGGCAATGCATAGAAACAAGCTGTACAAGCACACTAGAGTAATTTCTTCTAGTTTTGATAAAAACAGAAAACATATCTCAAAGGAGACTCAATTAATAACGAGAAAATATTTGCCATAATTATATTAGATTTCAAAACACAGAAATCTTAGTCACACTGTAAATAAAATATCACCACAAAAACAAGAACTAATTGAGATAAATTACATTAATGCTGTCCAGTAATTATTGTAAAATTAATTTTTATTCAATTTAGAACCTGGGGAGTGACAGCCTGTCAGGCTACAGGCTTCGTATTTTGCTTGACTGTCCATCCTAAGATGCATCAGCACTGTTTTCTTACCAACTGGCAAAACCATCATCCACATTAAACTTGATATACTGTATGCATGCACTTAAAAAATAGGCCTCTAGTTTGTTTGCATAAAATCGTATGCCTAAGTTCCTGGTTTTCACTTTTAAAAACAAAATAAAACTTCTAAGAGACAAGATATTTAGCTGAAACACCTTATTTTCGCAAACATATTACATTAACACTTTTATTCCCATGAATGAGCTTACCCATTTACAGCTGCCATATCCACACTACTGTAGGGGTGGCTGGTCTGACATTGCCTGTAATTCTTTTCTGAAAGTGCTTTGGTCAAGCAACACTTTTTCATCACTAGATGGTGCTTGTAGCCACACTTTATGACTATTTGGACAGTTTGCTACTCATTCCTTTACCGCAAGATTCTGCTTACTGGCAGTGTATTGCTAAGAAGGGCACACTGAGGTGCTGGAAGGTTGTGAATGCACCAACAGAAAGCATATAGCAGCAGTGGGGTGGGACTAAGTCCCTTATACTGCGGCCACTTCTGGCCTATTGTACCAGCCCCAGATGATAGGTGAGGGTGATTGTGGAGCAATTGGTGGAATGAAGATTGGCAGGGGAAACCAAAGTACTTGGAGAAAATCTGCCCCAGCACCACTTTGTCCACCACAAATCCCACTTGACCAGACCTGGAATCGAACCCGGGCCACTGCGGTGGGAAGCCAGTGACTAACTGCTTGAGCTATGGTGCAGCCCATGTATCAGCAGTAGGTACTGAGTAGTTTTAACTCACATCACGTGACAATCCCTTCTACCGTGCAACCATCAGTCACCCACTTTGTCGCCTGAATACCTGAAGTGTTTGTCTGTGTGGGCATGACACTATGCCAACATCAATATTAAGCAGCAGGGTAATGGCATTACAGTCATTGGATTTTTATGAGTGACCAGTTACAGCTATGAGATTTATATATGTGGCCATCAACATGCCCCATACAGCCTCTTATCTTTAGGGTACCCCCAAAACATTGGTCACCACTGACCAGGCTACATGTCATAACACAGAAAACAGCATTTCTATTTAAAAACAAACTCTGGTGCAACTAATACAGCACTATATAAACTCAGAGAGAAATGCAACAAGTTACTTACCTCTCTGCTTGGTACACAAATAGGTGTTCCTTCTTTAACGATCCCAGCCTCGACCATCACTCCCATCACTATTGGGTCACGAGAGTTGAAGATGAACTGTAAGACACAAAATTCAGGAATACACAAATACACGGGATGGCAGTGAGACATCAAAATTACATTCATGAAGATGTTGTAAGCACAGAATATGTAACCTTCCCATCAAAAGAATTTACCAAGCATGGTTGTTCATCTGTGCCTGGGATTACCTCAAAATAAAATGTACAGAAATAATGAAACTGCTTATTTACTAAGACAATTTAAAAAACATACTGTTCGAGTACTGAAGGTCGATGGTTGGCTCCTCCACTTTATCTACCAGAAATCTGGTTGCCTCTACTGCCCCTCCCCCCTCTCATAACCACTACTTCCCTTCAGAACTCAGATAGTACAATACCACTGGCTAATGTCATATTGTACACTTCCATCATGCCTCACATCAATTACCTGATGCATTGAACACTTTCCAAGCAAATAAATGAGACCTAGATTGTGTTTTCTATATAAGAAGTGGTTAACAACCATCAGTCACCCAGCCACGAGACAGAAACATGGGAAACCAATGAATAAAAAGATTTCATACAGCTACAAGATGGTATATGACTATAATTTTAATTGTTGTTTTATGTGGGTTTGAAACCTGGGTTTTTACAGCAGTGAAGGAACAATACGCTGAGATATGGGTGTGGGCTCAGAGGTACATCAGCTTCATCCCTGTTCAAAAAGTCAACACCATGGAACCCCAGGATGTGATGGGGTGTACCCTGGCCGAAAGACATCCCTCCTTCAAGAGAAACCTATTGCTCCTATCCAGAGAGCAGGACTGCACTCCAAAGATGGAGATCACATGGACTCAAAATCAATGACGTCCATGCACTAGGACACACACCATCCTGCCGAAAAGATCATCTGCCATGCCAACTCAAGGTCTTATATAAGCATAAAAGTTTATAATGACTATGAATGCGTCAGATGGTAAAGTCAGGGGCAAAATATGCTTATCCACACATTAATATAATGTTGAAAGCCTACAACAGTGCTGAGTTGTATAGCAGCCTGTGACTAAGAACCTAAAATTACCATGCTAGAAGCAATGAATTGAAGTAAACTGACTTCAGGAGGACAACCTCTACGGTCACCTCAGGATTCAGGAAAAATATCGCTTTACCAGGACAGAGACAAAAATCAGCTAAACTGACTAGGAGACCAATGATCCTCTCTTCCTAGTTATGCTAGCAAGGAATCAAAGGACTCCAGATATATTCAAATTCACAACACTCTGTACCACAGTTACAAAGGTCTAGGTTTATTAATCCTGAAACGGGCTTACATAATGCTACAACTGTCAGTGTTCTGGCCAAATCTGGGTGCACTCTGGGCAGCCTCCTTGCTGCTTGTGGTGAGAAAGGTAGTCATCATCATCATCCTGTGTGCCCAGAGAAACAGAACTCAGAGTGTCCCAACCTTCTGGAATTGCGACCAGCATGAGGGGGAATCGCTGCACCCAGTAAGTTATAGTGGCTACATTCTTGCAAAAATTAATTAGAGCACAGAAGGAACCTGCTGGCAACAACACTGGGGTCAGCAGGGAGAATATTCTTCTCGAAATACACTACAACCCATCGATCAATCACTGCTCCTCCTCGCAGCTCCGATCAGCAAAATCAGCAGCAACCATTGAAACAAAGACAGCGACAGTCTTCAGGAAAATATATGCATCAGGACACCAATCAAACTTCAGTTCAGTCAATATAGGCTAGAAATGTATACAGTATTGCAACAGACATGTACTTTGCCTTTATCACGGTGCAGCAGATTATGGCAAACTCTAAGGCACCGCCACAGAAAAAGGAAAACTTGCTGTCATAACTAGACCTGTGTTTAGACTTCTGAAGAATAATGCCAATAACAGTTCACAGACCTCTGAAAATCACAGCATTCAATGCTAAAGGCATATGGACAAAAACATGCATATCAGATGGATACGACCTACCATGTTGCATTCATTTCATGTACTTTGTGCAAAGAATGAATTATAATACTTTCAGTTAAATATTTCACTTGTGAACATGATTTCAGTTGTGATAAGAAGACTGATAAAAAAGGGGATTGAGACATACACCCAAGAAATACTAGGTACAACCATTAGCAAAACATTCTGATACTTATGGAGGTTTGTCCTCACCTGTGGCAATATTTTAAGTTTGCATGGGAAGACTGCTACATGTTTGAACTCCTCTCGTTTCCTCTGCCTCAGTTCTTCACGATATGCCATGAACTTATCGAACAAGTGATAAATAATGTCTGCTTGGAATATCTTCACACCCAGAGAATCTGCCAAGTCCTGTGCATCCCTCTCAACCTTCACATCAAATGCTAGAATTGTAGCATACCTGCAAAACAATATTTGCTTTCATGTTGGTACAATAGTGATTAATAATAACCTCAAAGCAAACCTCTGCTGGTATGATTCAAATGCATACAAAAAATCCTGTTCCTATTTCATGATTCACATTCCAGTTTCTATAGAAGAATGTATAATCACTTGCTGGTTCAGTTCCACTCCAGCCCCATCTGACCTCCTGCACTCACTCTAAATATAACATACTTTACTAATTTTCCTTTCAGTGACATATATATGTATGACATCTTATCACTAACAAACTCTACCCTCTTAACTTATGATGTTATTGCCTTATTAATGAAATTTCTGCCTGTAAATCAAGAGTGCCTTCACATTTCCATATAAAATGTATAATCACCTACCAATTCAGTCCCAGCCCTGTCCTACCTGACCTCCTGTACTCCCACTTAATGTAACTTATACTCTGCTAATTCTCTTCGTGCATCTTCAATGAGCCTGTTTCACAGAAACCCCTTATATTCCATATGCAAATGCACTAACCCATTTACCAACATGTGGTTCATTCCAAAGAATCTGCCCAAGACCAAGGACCTGTTTAACATTTTTTAAATGCTAATTCTTTACAGTAAGTTGTTAACCCACACACAACACTCATAATGCAATGACTACCCCTCATCAGTTATCTGTGACACCATATCAATAAATTTAAAGACACCTACATAAGTTTGTTATAAGATATATAATTTCAAAAACTGTTTGATGCAAGAAATTGTCTCATACAATTTACTGCTCGAGAAACTTGGTAATTTTAACCTCAATATGAAAGTAGTCTGTTGACAGAGTAAACATTCAGCTGTGTTATTAATTAGTTTCAATGTTTCTTCAAAGATATGGACAGCTTACTTGGGAGTCTAAATGAGTTGGAAACGTGTACAGAACACACGTATGTCTGGTAAGAATAATTAGTGGTGCAAAACAGAATTATCATATACAATGAAACAAATTCATAGGACACAACTGCTTTGAACGTATCACAGTTTGTGGCATACTGAGATGAAGCTTGCACTCACAATAATGATAAAGACACCCATCATGTTCTAAGTTAATTAATTCCTTTAGTGGGGGGTGGAGTCCAACTGGGTCCACTTGGCACGGCGGCCACTGATTGGCCTATTGTAGCCTGCCCTGGGTGATTATGATGGAGAATTTGGTGGAATGAAGATTGGCAGGGGAAACCGAAGTACTCGGAGAAAACCCACCCCAGCGCCACTTTGTCCACCACAAATCCCACTTGACCAGACCCGGGATCGAACACGGGCCACCATAGTGGGAAGCCAGCAATTAACCGCTTGAGCTATGGCGTGGCCATGTTTTAAGTTTATTTATTTTCTGTGATTATTTATATATGACCGCCTCTGTGGTCTAGTGGTCAGAGTTCCTGGCTACAGATCCAGAGGTCTGGGTTCGATTCCCGGCGCTACCAGATTTTCTGAGAAGTAGTGTGTCTGGAACAGGGTTCACTCAGCCTTGTGAGGATAACTGAGGAGCTATTTCAAAGAAATAGCGGCTCTGGCCTAGAAAACCAAAGTTCATTCATTCGCTTATTTATATACTCAAACCATACTGTGTAATAAGGAACTTTAGGAAATCTCATTTACCACACATAAAAACTAACAAACTTCAAACATCTGCACCTCAGTATCTACACAACTTTTCGAGTCAGAGTTTGTGGATTTCTGAATCACCCTGTAATGACTGTTAATCAAAGTGAACAATACTATCTTCTGCGATGTAACACTATGTAGTCTGCCAGAAGCTCACCAATATTTCAGGAGAATGTACTGCCTGCAGGTCTCCCTTAAGATGAAGACAGCCCCTTCCTCTAAAACAATGGTGGACTTCTAGCAGACTGTGGGATTACAACCCAGAACACTGTTGTGGAACCTCAACGTGTCTACACTTACTGGCTCTCATGTTCCAACATGGTGGAAGCTTTCATCACATCCTTCTTCACAACTGGACCAATACGAATATTTGAATACTGAAAGAAATAAGCAAAATTCTTAGCAATAACATAAGTAATAAGAACTGGAAACTTCTTACTGGACAAAGGCAAAAATAATACCATCTAATGTGACTATTTAAGTTTTATCCCTTGAGGATTTATCTCCCTTACACGTTTTGATCCTTATGGATCATCCTCAGAGGGTGTCAATACTTTCAGAAACTACTATTACAATAGATGTTAATTGTATGGGATACACATATGATGTCTAAAATGCACAATATACACAATGTTCAACCTTCCACATTCACAATGGCCGTTGTGACATCATATGTGTATCCATACAATTAGCATCTATTGTAATATTAGTTTCCGAAAGTATTGATACCCTCTGAGGATGATCCATAAGGATCAAAACGTGTAAGGGAGATAAATCCTAAAGCGATAAAACTTAAAGAGTCACATTAGACGGTATTATTTTTGCCTTTGTAATTGTTAGCGTGACAGACCAGAATGAAACAAATCAAATTCTTACTGGAGTACATAAGGATATCTTCCCAGAGAAGCAGGCCTTTCAACTATGTAAATGTACTCTATCTAAACGGTGAAAAATACTGCATCATGGAACATCTGAAGCATGTGTGGAATCCCACAGTGCCTACTACATTTGCTGAGTCTGTCCATTTGTCCATCTGTATGCATGGAAAGACCCAAGAGCCACTGGAAAAAATTATTTTGTGAAATTTGATTTGAGAATTAAAAAAATCCAGTCACTTAATTCACACTTAGATCAGACATGTTTAACAACAACTTTACAGGACGGCCTACAGACATTTCTGTGCACATCTCATTAAATATTTATAGGAGAGATGAATGCAAAATCGCAGAAAAAATGAAACATGTTTTATGTTCAATGCATATATCAACCATGGCCTCTAAACACAATCACAGTTAAAAAGAAGTCTTTACAGAGTTTAGGCTATGTTAGAATTAGAGTTCTTCTTTTCTTCTGATATTGTGCTATATTACAATATGACTTTGAAGCATACATTAAACAGTCAATACATATTTAATTTCCTTTAATGTGTGCACTAACAGCAAACACTGAAGTCTTAGTACTGACTGTTTATTTCTTCAGTAAGTCTTTATACACCTATATAATTTTGACATCTTGCCAATTTGAGCATGTATCATAAATTAAGGGCACACAGCTACAAGTGAATTAGATGTTTGCTGATTAAAAGGAAACAGTTCACTTTTGCCTTAGATATTTAATTTATAATTTCTTCCACTGACTTCACCTGCTGAGTGTGTGCTGTACACTTCCACAGTATTCTGTTTCTTTGTTCAGGTTATTAATAAAGTCTGTGCAGTACAAGTGATGATTCAATGTGTGACAGATCCCAGAACGCTAAAATGCCATAAAATGGAATTTCATTTAAATGAGGCAAGGTTTTCAAACTGGTTAGTGAGAAGATATTCATCTCCTCTTGCGCTAAATTTGCTTTTGAAACACAGTTAATGGTTCCCCAAACATGTAATTCATTAGGCAGTCCAAATTAGCCTACTGGGTGCAGGTTATGTTTAGTAGCAAATTTTTACACTGTAGAAGATACGGTCTGGTGTAGTGTCAGAAAGTTTGTCCCTCCAAAACTTCGATCAAGTCTAAATATTCTTACCGCCCTTCTCTCCCTCCTTTCTTGCTAACTTCTTCTTCTTCACACGCTGGGTCGCCTGTAGTAGGTTCTTCTTTCTTGTTGCTAAATTTATCTCAGGGTTATTTTAAAAGGAGGGGGTTTTGTCGATTTGGTAGAGCTGAGTACCTCTTATCTCAGAGCCTTGAACGGGCCACAACTCAGAAAAGGGAATAAATTAAACACAAATCACAAGCACATCTCAAGTTTGGACGAATTATATTGAACACTTGTTTAACCACTTTTGATAGTTTCAATGTCAGTAACCTTTATGTCTTACTGCTTCGGAGCCCGGTGTGTAACTTTTTGCGGCTAATTCTATGACTCCGGTTTCCGAATTTACGTCTGTTTCTAACAACCCCCGGTTTCCGACTGATGCTAAAACATGACGCTTCCTCAAACCTTCAATTCCTGCTTTCACCAGCGTCACTGCCCTGTCACACCCTTAAATTTTATTGATTGGCTAATTTTGAAAAATAGGAGTATCTTAATTAGATATTCCTCCACTCCGCTTAAAGCTTACAAGTGTTTAAGGATTTTTGACTCCAACGTATTTCTGTCAGAAAGTGCCAATGCTTAAGCGTCGCTTGGGCCCTAAAAACTTCACTCTTTTTAAGTTATGGCACGTACAAACTGCCAAGTATTGAATTTACAAAAGATTTCTTTACCCTATTCTTTAACGCAGCTTTCCACTAATAAACCTTTGACGGGTGTCTTCCTGTTTCTTGTTGTAAGCGTGAGAAGACGCTTTCTCTTACATACAAGAATTGACCTATGTCTCACTACCCTTGTTCACTGCATTTCATTTGGAACAATTAAGCTTTCAAATTTATAAAGTTGATTACATTAAATAAGTTGTGTAGCAGTGGAACGGTTACAATATTTGTTCATATTTCATGAGGCCCATGGCCTGAGGAAATATCAATGTCTTTAGAAAACCTGTTCTTGTCTACCTTCACAAAGATACACCCCACTCACACACTCAAGAGCTTGTTTCTATATAATGAATGCAAAATAGCTGTGTTTCTTATGTGTGGATGATAAACTGCTCGGCATATTTTACATCAGTCCTCAAATTCTAGTTAGCAGGATTTACTAGTATTGATTACCCTAAGATTAAACTTGTGTAATGCTAGCTACCATTCAGTCCAGAACCTTTTGTCTGCTCGTCTTCTGTCCAAAAACATAAAAAATAGAATATACAAAACTATAATTTTTCCTGTGGTTCTATATGGATGTCAAACTTGGTCTCTGACATTAAGGGAGGAACATAGACTGAGGGTGTTTGAGAACAGGGTGTTGAGAATATTTGGACCAAAGAGAGATGAAGTGATAGGAGGTTAGAGAAAACTTCATAATGAGGAGCTTCATAACTTGTACTCTTCTCTAAGTATAATTAGAATGATCTAGTCAAGGAGGATCAGGTGGGCAGGGCATGGAGCACGAATGGGGAGGACAGGAATGCATATAGGCCATTGATGGGAAAGCCAGAAGGAAAGAGACCACTGGGAAGATCAAGGTGTAGGTGGGTGGACAATATTAGAATGGATCTTAGAGAGATAGGATAGGATGATATGGATTGGATTGATCTGGCTCAGGACAGGGACCAGTGGAGGGCTCTTGTGAACACGGTTATGAACCTTCGGGTTCCATAAAATGCTGGGAAATTGTTGAGTAGACGCATAATTGGCGGCTCCTCAAGAAGGGCTCAGCACCAATAGTAAGTAAGGTGAAAAAATCAATGCTTTACATATTACGGCATTTTCTTATTTTTGCGTTTCCTTTCAGGGACTACCAGTAGTACTGACTACAATTTCCTTCTCCCTTCCCAAGCGTTTAATGGTGTGTTCGGCAGTGTATGATAAATTCAATTTTTCATGCGATCATGCTTAAATTTTAAAAGCGAAAGTTCAGTATGGGTGATCATGAAATATCTTCAATTTTCATATTTCAAAATGGCATAACCATTACGCTGTAAATAAACGTGCTAGCACTTTTTTGGGAATGAGTTATTTTACAACGCCGTCAGTATCTCGGATTACATGACGTCGAATGGCAGAAGCATTTGTGAATGATGAAGTGGAAAGGGCGTGGAAATGGCTGTAGCCTAACCGAGGTAATATCCAGGCATCTGCTTGGCAGGGCTGAGGAAAACGACGAAAAGCCTCAGTCAGGATATCCAGTGTGCTGGCCAACATTCGAAACAGCATTAGCGCTAAGCTAACCCGTTCAGTGTAATGTTAAGCTATATCAGTAATAATCATATAAAATGTCTCTTATTTGAACAATGCCAGGTATATTGGATACCGGTCCTCGGAAAACCCACTACTGTTTTACTGGGTCGAGAGCCACTGGACTATGGGTCTCTTTGAAAACAATGGCCTGAAGCTGAAGAGGCTTATGCCACGTTGAAAAAGTTTGTCCCAACACAAACTTACACACGCGAAACGAAATGTTTACTTGGTCGCCCACTGAAGAGAGCATCACCAACACGACTGATTTGTGAATTCCGGTAACGTCCTCTCCAGGCAGGGTCAAGATATGTCTGGTTTGGACTTGCCGGATGTCACATCGCTGCCACTTCCGGCACATTACTGTTGATGATGCAACAGACATGCCTTACGCCGCTGGACTCAAGATGCTTCATACCTTGGCCAACATATCCGCGTTATACGAAACTCCAGTTTCCCAATGCCTCGACGTAATAGAGCCTAGTCGAACCCATGGGATTCTGCAGTTATGCGACGCCCGAGAGAAGCGTCGTTCCGCATCTTAAATCTGCGTCACTTTCGCAAGATCGTTTAGACGCTGCGCTTTAGAGAGACAATTCTTGCAATTTCAACGTTTGTTAATTAGATATCCTTCTACTGAATACATCATTCCTAGCCGTGTCTGCATCACTTAAAAACCGAGTACAGACTGTAGTAACAGAAAAAAAGTATTACATTTCGCATTTGATATTTTTATGGGGAGCCGGGATGGCTCGGTCTGTATAGCGACTGGCTACGGGCAGCCGACCGAGGGGTCAGAGATCGAGCATCGGTAGGGAACCACAGAATAATCTGCGTTTAGGAGCAGAACTGAAACTGCTGTATTAATAATTCTCCGCCTTTGCACTTTGCTTATACAATCGGTTTGATGGACACTAAAACGCTCTAAATCTTGGGGTGAATAAACAGCCACAGGATGGCGGAGAATCAATCAAGATTCAGAACGGAATTAATCAACACATTCCATGGAAAAGATATTTTCTTCAGAAGCTAACATTCGCTCAAATGGTTAAGATGTTCGCCGCTATTTTATGGGACGAGAAAGTTCTACTTTAAACTTACATTAAACAAT